AGGTCTCCCATTTCCGTCTGTCTGTCCGTCTGTCCGTCTGTCCGTCCGTCTGTCCGTCTGCCGTCCCGGATTTTTATTAGACAGATAATCTCCGAAAGTACTCGACCGATTGTTGTGAAATTTTGTACTTATATTAAGAATATCATGTAGATGGTAAAACGCTAACCAAAATTTGTCTAATCATCCCCACAACTAATGCGATGACGTCACTTCAAAATTGTACATAGTAAATGGGTTTTCAATTGTATAAAATAACATAGTCCTACACATGTAGTTTACAAATCTGAATCGACTTTTCACCCGAAACGTCCAGATTTTTGGAAAAAAAATCAAAATTATAAAACAACATTTTGAAATTTAATTTTTAATCTGCTAACCCGAATGCTTTGAAATGTTGCAGATGTTTTAAGGCTATAAAGAGCATCATAAATCTTTAGTCAAAAAATATTTGCTTATCCCCTCCAAAAACTTGATGACGTCAGCTCAAAAGTTTGTGGAATAAATCATATCTAAAATGTACTAAATATGATGAGTCTGTACTTGTGATCTATCACTCCATTCATATTTTTTGGATTTGCATATACAGGGTGACTCAAAAAAATTAATGAATGCGTAAATTTATTTTACTGATTTACTCAGAAACTACAAAACCGAATGCTTTGAAATCTTGCAGATGTTTTAAGGTTATAAAGAGCATAATAAATGTTTAGTCAAAATATATTTGCTTATCCCCTCCAAAAAATTGATGACGTCAGCTCGAAAGTTTGCCGAATAAATCCTATCTAAACTGTAAAAATATGATGAGTCTGTACTTGTAATTTATCACTCCATTCATATTTTTTGGATTTGCATATACAGGGTGACTCAAAAAAATTAATGAATGCGTAAATATATTTTATTGATTTAATCAGGAACTACAAAACCGAATGCTCTGAAATCTTGCAGATGTTTTAAGGTCATAAAGAGCATAATAAATGTTTAGTCAAAATATATTTGCTTATCCCCTCCTAAAACTTGATGACGCCAGCTCGAAAGTTTGCCGAATAAATCATATCTAAAATGTACAAAATATGATGAGTCTGTACTTGTCATTTATCACTCCATCCATATTTTTTGGATTTGCACATACAGAGTGACTCAAAAAAATTAATGAATGCGTAAATATATTTTATTGATTTAATCGGGAACTACAAATCGGAATGCTCTGACATCTTGCAGATGTTTTAAGGTTATAAAGAGCATAATAAATGTTTAGTCAAAATATATTTGCTTATCCCCTCCAAAAACTTGATGACGTCACTTCGAAAATTTGCCGAATAAATCATATCTAAAATGTACAAAATATGATCAGTCTGTACTTGTGATCTATCACTCCATTCATATTTTTTGGATTTGCATATACAGAGTGATTCAAGAAAATAAATGAAAGCGTAAATTTATTTTACTGATTTACTCAGGAACTACAAAACCGAATGCTTCGAAATCTTGAAGATATTTTAAAATTATCATAAGCATGGTAAATTTTTGATCAAAATGTATTTGGTCGTCCCCCCTAAAAAATTTATGACGTCACCACAAAATTTTGCTGAATAAATCCTATCTAAAATGTACAAAATATGATGAGTCTGTACTTGTGATTTATCATTCCATTCAAATTTTTTCGATTTGCATATACAGGGTGACTCAAAAAAATTAATGAATGCGTAAATTTATTTTATTGATTTAATCAGGAACTACAAAACCGAATGCTTTGAAATCTTGCAGATGTTTTAAGGTTATAAAGAGCATAATAAATTTTTAGTCAAAATATATTTGCATATCCCCTCCGAAAAATTGATGACGTCAGCTCGAAAGTTTGCCGAATAAATCCTATCTAAACTGTAAAAATATGATGAGTCTGTACTTGTGATTTATCATTCCATTCATATTTTTGGATTTGCATATGCAGGGTGACTCAAAAAAATTAATGAAGGCGTGAATTTATTTTATCGATTTAATCAGGAATTACAAAACCGAATGCTTTGAAATCTTGGGAATATTTTAAAGTTATTATAAGCATGGTAAACTTTTGTTCAAAATGTATTTGTTCATCCCTCCTAAAAAAATTGATGACGTCACCTTTAAATTTTGCTGAATAAATCCTATCTAAAATGCAAAAAATATTATGAGTTTGTACTTGTGATTTATCATTCCATTCATATTTTTTAGATTTTCTTAAGAGATGGTTCAAAAAAATTAATGAAGTCAATTTATTTTATTGATTAAATTAAAGGCAACACTTATTATTAGTATTACACCCCAACCAACCCAATTTGGTAGACACAAAATTTGTTAAAGGAAAAACTCGGTTGAAACATAAGGGTAGCACGCTTATTTACATCGACTTTAACATTACAGACCTGCATTTGTTTTATGTGCTCACTTGGTTTCGCGAATGTGGAATAGACATGTTTATAATCAACCAATTGTGAATTTCATCATCAAGAATTAAAATAAAACCCAATGTTTTATATAATAAGTGGAAGTCGAAGCAATAAAACCGATGGTCGTTTTGTTTACAGTTTCTCTGTTTGACTCTCACGTATGCTGTTACGCTTGTCATCTTAAATTAAGAATGTTTATACATAAACGATTTTCAGTTGCCTTTCATATTACTAGACAGCGGATTTTTGTCGGGCTACGTCACGTTTAATCGGTACTAATTCCATAAATATAATTAACGATTTATTAATCAAACGGCTAAGTAAATGAGAACGGGAATTAACAGCAGAGTGCAACGAAACAGCGTTATTCTAATCTCAAATAAACGAAGTGCAGTCCGCAACAGCAATGAATTCGCATCCCGTACGAGCCGTACCGAGTTTGGCCTTGCCTAGCCCGACAGAAATCCGCTCTCTAGATATTACACACCGACGCCGTATACGTGAGTAAATTGTTTCGTTATTTTATTGATTATAAGAAATCAATATTCAAAACGACCCAATTCATTTTCCCGAAAATTTGGGAATACAATAATTTTATTCTTAGTATTACACTACATCTATCCCAACTGATATACGTGTCCTTGCAAAAATGTTGATGACGTCATCACAATTTTTTTTTAAATTCCCACTACAAAAATGTAATGAGAAAAAAAAACACAATAGGCATGCAGTCGTCAAGTTTCCGACAGCGAGGGAAGTACTGTCTAAACTCTTTAGACCAATTTTTTTATTTTTCGATTTCTCAATTGTCCGGTGTTTCAATGATACGATTTCGCAATTTTCAGTTCTTCTATGCATATTTCAGTTTTTCAATTTTCGGAATTTATTAAATTTCTGATTTTCTATTTTTTTTTTAATTTTTCGATTTTCCAGTTTTTCGATGTTTCCATTTTTCTATTATAGGATTGTTCAATTTCTCGATTTCTAAATTTTAGATTTTCTAATTTTTATTTTTTTTATTTTTTCATGTTTGGACAATTTATTATTGCTAAAAATAAAAGGAAAAAATAACTACCAAAATTGTGACTAAAAATATGTAAAAATTAATAAAAAATGGAACACATTGCTGCTAAAACATAAAAATAACTTTACTTTCCCAAAAAAATCTATTGCATGATTACTGTTCCACTAGTATTGCTAATTTAGGACGTTAGTATCAAACGCAATGAAAGAATTCATTCTTAGTTAGTGATGGGAATCTAAATCTTATCAGTTTTGTGTATTGTTTAATATATAAAATGACAGATTAATATAAAATATTTGAATAATTTTTTGAAAGAAAATGTTTTAGTAGAATGTATAAAATTATAAAAATTTGCATACTTTTAAATCAAATTATGTCAGCAATGAAAGAAGTCGACTTGTGAAAGAGTTTCAACAATGTTGGTCAGCTAAGAGTATTTATGAGTTTTATGACCTAAAGTACCTGAACTGATTACCTGAAAGGGTCAGTCGGCAAGGCTCCCTGCTGTGTAAAACTCGGCCATTTATTGAAACGAATCATTTGTAAATAGGGTTGCCTAGTTTCACATTATTTTCATTATTCAGTATTTTTTTAAAAGGCAAATATTTTGATAAATATAACTTTTAAACAAAAATGACCCGGTCTTCCCCATAGAGCTCAATGTTGTCTTTGCACTGATATAAAAGTTGAAGCGAAAAATGCTCTCTCCTCCTCTAAAAATGCAATTTCCTTCGAAGAATGAACGATTAATTAAACATTAAACAATCACTTATTTTAAAAAATATTGTGTCTTCCCCAGAGATATAGATATAATCTATCAAATATCAAAAGTTGAAATTACGCCCGTAAAATGAAAATCTATTTAGCTCATTTTTCGGTCTGCTACTGGGCACCCTTAAGTAACGTGATCTATGTAGTTTTTGAAATGACCGATTCAATTTTGATTCTTTTTTTCTAAAAATTTGGATGTCTAGAGTAAAAACTCAACACAAATTGATAAACCACAAGTTCCAAGTTCAGGAGTATTTTATAAAATTTAAATAACATTTACTGTTATAAATTTTGGAGATGACGATATCCTATTGGTGGTGGGCATGATCAGACAAATTTTGGTTAGCGTTTTACCATCTACACGATATGACGTACATAGAGAATTTGACAACAAGTGGTCCGCTGGTATCAGAGATTAGCTGCCTAAGAAAAATCGACAGACGGAAACGCGAGACCCTCATTTTCATACTCTGTCTTCACTTTTCAAGATATAGAAATTCAGGAGAATATCATTTCTGAATACAACAAATACACTGGGAATCTTTCGATGTAAAACTTTCTGCTCATTAATTTATTATTAAATTTATAATAAAAAATTTTCACAGAATTTGGTTCTAAATGTCGAATAATTGTTCTTTTTCCCTAAAGTTGGAAGGACAAAATACAGTAAAATAAATCTAGAACTGAGTAGACGTATCATGCACAATACTATATGTATATGTATGTAGTATCGTCGTTATATTTTTTACTTAATTACTTTACACAATTAATTTTTTTTTCAGATAACATAATGCGACACGTCTTTGCCGACGGCCGCGTAATATACAAACTAGCCGACTTCGGCACCGCTCGTGAACTTCCAGAAGGCCAAAATTTCTACTCACTCCACGGCACTGAACCATATCTCAACCCCCAACTTTTTAAAGTGTGCTTTTTCAAAGACGCCGAATTTAGAAGAGAATTTGGAGCTAACACCGATTTATGGTCCATCGGTGTCACCCTCTACCAAATCGCCACGGGAACTCTACCCTTCATGGTACAGGATCGGCAAGTCATGCTAGCGATTTACAACGAAATGCTACAAACCCAAGGAATAATATCTGCAGTTCAGCAAAGGAATTCAGAAGAGGTAGTTTTCCAGAAGAAACTACCCCAAACGAGTCGTCTAAGTGAGGGTTTAAAGTCTCTGATCACGCCAATTATTGCCGGCCTTTTCGAACAAGAAACAAATAAGCAGTGGTCTTTCACTCAATACTATGAACGGGTTTTAGAATTACTTTCGAGAAAAGTCATGAGTGTTTTCTACGTGAATAAAATGCAGATCTTGAAGATTTACGTGAAACCGGACGATACTTTTAATGATTTCAAAGAGTACGTTTGTCAGCAGAGTGAAGTTAGCGAAGAAAATCAAGTTTTTCTATATAAGCAACACTTGATAGTTAGCAGTTTTGACGAATTTCATTCCGTCGGTTCGCAGTGTATATATTTGTTTGATAGAACTGCTGCAAAGGTAGAATCTATGAGTAATACTCAACTGATCTATGAAAATTTATCCACTTTTCCTTCAAAATTCAGGGCTGATTCCGACTGTGATGAATTGAGACTGGCATTCGTAGCCTGTAGAGATTTGTGTGTTTGTAAGAACCTAATGGATTATCAATCCACCGTCTACAAACATTTTACTGCATTCATGAACGATTTTCATGCTTACTGCAAAGAAGAACAAAACGAGCAGCGGAAGATGTATGATATTTTGCTGGACAAGAATTGCAGTGTCAACAGCAGAGTGAAAATTCTAGCGAAGCTTCAAGATTTAAGCCATTCCCCAGATGAAGAATTTACTGAAAAATTCAAGACCGTAACTGACAATTTTAAGGAGCAAGCTGGCAAAATTTTTGATGATCTCGCAGATAGCAGACCAGAAACAGAAGTTGACACAAAACATGACTCCTATCTTAGCATCGTTGTCAAGGAGTTGTCAGACATGAAAAGTATGACGAAGAACTTGTACAGTGTAAAACTCAACAATAAGAAACTGTATGAGTACGAGAAGATAAAAATAATTCATTGTGTCAGGACAATAATGGAAATATTGACAGACAAAATACATCCAGATTTTGAAGCGTACGTCGATGATGCAAAACGCTGGTACAAAAAGGAGTTTTTTGGACAGGTCCGATCTCTAAGTGTTTTAAAAAAACATATCAATCGATATAGACGCGATTTGAATGACTTTGAGGCAGATGTTGATACTAGAAGTAACGAGAAGTTGGAAGCAATTAGTAAGACCAAACAGCCGACCATGGATACTCATAAGTTGTTTGGGATGTTGGAACAATATAAACGAAATAATTGTGACATGAAGTCTTTAATAGAAGAGAACATACAATTGGCCGAGAAAATAGGTGAACTCTTCTTGAGTTTGGACACAAATATGTCAACGGATTTGTAAGAAGTTGGGTAATTGGATCTAAGGTGATTTAGTTGTAAGAAATCAAATTCAGCGTTATTTTGCCTGAATTCAATTTTCAAGGGTATTATGAAGTATTTTTGTACTGACAAAAGGCTGTTGTGTATAATGTAGGCAGTGTAAATAACATAAAGCAATATGTGGACATGTAATGATAAATATATTCTTGAATATACACATTATTTTGAGCTTAGATTTGTCATTTTTACGATAGACAAAATAAGTTTCTCAACTGATTTCATTTGCGGTAATTAATAAATGACGGGTGATCAAAAAGTTTTCAGATTAGTGTTGGCCATGGAAATATTTGTCATGTCTTTGATTAAACTATAAATGTCGGGCATAACCTCATTCGTATTTCAATCATTTAGATTTTTGACATTTGCATTGTAATCAAAGACATGACAGATATTTCCATGGTCAACTCTAATCAAAAAACTTTTTGATCAGTCGTTACTGACACGATACGCAAAAACATGTTTTTAATCTCTCGTAGAGAAATACGGATTTTGCAGTTAAGCTCCGCCTTCTTGGTCCACGACGAATAAAAAAAATCATCACAATTGAGATAGGGTGGGTGGGCGGGGCTAGATTTTTCCTTTGTTTTCTTGATATGTGTAGACTTAATTCGACAACAAGAAGTTTAAAACATTTCTAAAATGAATGAATTAAGTTGAGACCTATAATATAATTCTTACCCGAGGCGGGGCCGAGTTTTGAAAATAGACATGAGCATAGAGGGCGTTCAAGATTGAAAATATAAAGTAACAGTTTCATTAATAGTTTTCTCGACGATTTCGGGTTATCATTACAATGGTACAGTCGCCGCTGTTTTGAAAAATATACCTCAGATTCAGTATTCAAGATTTTCATCTGATATCAATTTTGAGTCATATAAGTTTGGAGAGAAGTGGCGCAGCCGAGTGTTGAAAAATAGAGATGAACATTTAGGGTGTTTAATATTGAAACAATAAACTGGCTGTTTTTTTTAATAACTTGCAACACGATTTAGGGTTATCAGTGTAATGATATAGTCGTTGCGACTTTTAAACTCGAGGCGAAGCCGAGAGCTAAAAAATATGCCAAAGATCACAGATCTTATTTAAAAAGAAATATTCAAGATATTTCGTTCACATCAATTTATATTTTCCTTTTTATCTTAACATACATAATACATAGTATTCTTCGAACAACACGATACTCAAAAACAAACATGTTTTTAATTTCTTATAAAGAAATAAGTATTTTGCACTTAAGCTCTGCCCCCTGGGTTGACGGCGAATAAAAAAATTCATCACAATTGAGAAAGGGCGGGTGGGCGGGCTTATATTTTCCCATTTTGTTTGAATATGTGTAGACTTCTTTTCACAACATGAAACTAAAAATATGTTTAATATGGAAAATGTGTGTAAGCAAATACGATTTTGCAGTTAGGCTCCGCCCCATAATTGCAAGATCCATATTTCCTTACAAAGATGTACCATTTTGACCATAGTCGAAGTTTCTTGCTGTGAAAAGATGGCTATGTATATTAAGAAAAAAAGCCAAAATATAAGCCCCGCCCACCCGCCCTATCTCAATTCTGATGATTTTTTTATTCGTCGTAAGCCGAGGGGTGGAGCTTAATTGTAAAATCGATATTTCCCTATTCAAATTTACCATTTTAAACATGTTTTAAGTTTCTTGTACATGATTTTACTCATGTGTTGTGAAATAAATTCGAAGAAAATCAGAGGTATGATAAATGATAAATGAGAATAAATGTATAATAGGTAATCAGTAGCTAAAATTACTACTTTATCCCATAGGGAACGTTAACAAAAATATCAAAATCATTCTGACTCAGATTAAAATTATTGGTCATTTGATAAACAGGCGAGTACTTTTCGACATCTATACGCGGTGTAGGCAGATAGAAACAATGGTGGTCACGAGAAGAAAGTCTTGGACAATAGATATAGGGCTTGCTGAGAAGATTGGTACAGTCAACTTGTGAGCACATTAGATTTCTAAGAAAGTTCAATGAATAAGAAATGCGTCTAGTGTTTAAATCCGTAAGTTGAAATCGGTTTAAAAGAGATGCTAAATATTTAAGAAAGCGGCGCTGAATTTTTTCTAGAGCGTCAGTGTGGTTTTGACAGAAAGGGGACCATGCTATACTTGCATATTCCAACCTAGAGCGCACATAAGAGAAGTATAAGATTCGCAAACATTCCAAGTCATTGAAATTACTGCCACAACGCAGAATGAATCCAAGGGATTTCAGAGCGTTTGCACAGATGTTGTTAATATATGCTCGAAACGTAAGTTTGGGATCGAAAGTCACGCCCAGGTCAGAAAAGTAGTCTACTCTGGATAACACAGCTTCATTTAACGTAACTATAATCAGATGAGATTTGTGAATTCTTATTAGTATAAGACATTATGTGACATTTATCAAAATTTATTGGAAGCATATTCAACTTACTCTATTGCAGGAAATAAAGTAAATCGGTTTGCAGCACGGTTGTAGAATAGATAGGTTTGTACACTAATGGCTTGAGATGGCGACGCTTCTTTTCGATCCCTATATCCATGGAAAGGACACATACAGCTAGCGCCTCTACCTTGTCGAGCGGAAATCATTCTAGTTATTTTGGGGATTTTCTTTTAAATTGCTTTATGAACAATACAAAATTTGTAAATGACATTTGATCGGAGTCGATAAGTACGATTTCTTTTATTAATTACATCGGTTATAGACAGATGCCTATAGAGTTCTGTGTCCCTAAAACGTCAAAAACCAGGCGACGCGATCGGCAATTGGCGTCGCTGACCAGGGATATGCAAATGTATGCTAGTGTATCAACCTATCTATTCTACAACCGTGGTTTGCAGTAATAGACAGTCCTCATATTTAGCTATATCTCTGTATATTTTTACGTCGTCTGCATACAAAATAATATTAGAGTGAATAGCTTGGACTAAATCATTGAGATATATCACGAAGAAGAGAGGACCTAAGACTGAGCCTTGTGGTACGCCACTAGAAACAACAGACGTCTTAGACACATGCCCTAAATATTTTACAATCTGAAGCCTGTTAGCTAGATTAGTTCCAGGAGAGCGACAGAGAATCCAATATTGTTCAACTTAACTAATAGAATTTTATGATTTAACTTATCGAAAGCCTTTGAGAAGTCCATGTATGCAACGTCTACTTGCAGTCTCTTATCAAAAGAATCGGACACAAACTGAGTAAAAGTACATAAGTTGGAAGTAGTAGAACGGCCATACACGAAACCATGCTGAGATTCGGAGATCTTATTACGAATATTAAAAAGAAGAAATCTATGAAAAACAAGTTCAAAAACCTTACCAAAGTTACAGATCAGCGAGATAGGACGGTAGTTCTCTATCATACTTCTTTTACCTTTCTTAAAAATAGGAGTTATGATGGATAATTTCCAAATTTCAGGAAATATACAGGTTTTCAAGATTAAATTGAATAATAACATTAATGGGTAAGCTAAAGCTGACGCACAATCAGATACCAAAAATGCAGGTATATTATCATGACCAGAAACCCAATTCGTCTTTATTTTTTTTGCAGCGTTTAAACCTCAGCTTCAGAAATACGAGGCAAATGGATTGTCGTATGAGGCAAGTCAGTACCCAATCGGTTAATATTATTGACCTTCGAGTCATCAAAATTTCGACTAAAACATTCAGGAAACGCATTTACAATAAGTGGAGGACTAGTTAGGAGATTGTCACAATAGGTCATACTAGATGCAATTCCATTACATTTTTTTAAGCTGTTCGTAAATTCCCAGAATTTCTTAGGATTAGATTTATTTCAATTCCAAATCACGCAAATAGTTATCATAGGCTACTTTTAAATCACGTTTAATTTCAGATCTAATGTTTTTAAATTCATTGTATGTTGCGAGACAGTTATTTGATCTAAATTTACTTAATAGACGCCATTTCAGTTGAAGTTTACCTATGATAACGAGAGTAAACCATGGTGGATACGATGATTTTCGGTACTGTTTTGTTTTAGGGATATACAAGTCGACGGCCGCATTAAGTTTATCGTAGAATAAATCAGTGGCATCATTAACATCGTCGACATTAACTAGGCAGGACCAATCAATTTCTGCTATATACGTATACGTATACAGCAGAAATTGATTGGTCCTGCCTAGTTAATGATGATTTTGTGAACCTATATAATATAGGTTCACAAAATCAGCTTTACGGAAATTCCATTGTTTATCACTGGATTTGTTCCTATTAATAACACGTATTTGAGATGTACATACCTTCACAGGAATGAACAGAGACGGATGGTGCGGATCTTCATTCAGTAGATTATCGCCAGAACATTTAATCTGACAGTTCAGATTAGAAATAACCAAGTCCAAATAACGGTTATTATTGTTCGAAATATTATTAAACTGTTGATAATCAGAATAATGCAAAAAGTTTAGTAATGACGACACATTTCCTTTGTTCATACCATAGTCAGATACATCTGGAGAGTACTCAGGAATATTGAAATCTCCAATTAAGATAACCCTTTGATTAAGAAGTTCAGTTAAACTACCTAATAAGTTAAACAATAGATCATATTCATCGACAGTTGCTTTAGGTTGAATATATACGGCTAATATAAAGACAGAAGAATGATGAAGAACAAGTTCGACACCAACCACATCCGTAAATAGAAGAGAATCAAAACCTGCTGACAAGTTGAGTGCGAATATTGTATACTCTCTGACAATTTGATATGAAGGAGGGCAAAACTCAGAATTAGCCACGGAGTCATTTAACCAGGTTTCCGTGAGAATTACAATGTCAAAGTTACAACAGGAGTTAATTCCTCTAGCATTTTGGTAATAAATAGAGAGCAGAGAATATGACAAGGTCGATGAAACTGATTCGTTTAATTGCTATGCTGAAAGTCCAAACAGATCTTTTTTAACTTTGCTGAGTACAAGATCGTGCGCATGACATTTAGAATAATCCCATGCTGCATGCTCGACGTCTATGTCTTGGTTCTTGTTTTTAATGTTTAAATTGTTGCAGTTGACACACTTGAAATCTAGAGTTTCCTCTTTGCACTCATTGATTGTGGTTGTTTCCACATTTAGGACATGATGGACTGTTTTTACAGAATTTGCTCGAATGCCGAAATGCATTG